GTTAAGCTTTGAGTCACCTGATTGGATTTTGCAGGTGATTAAAATGGCACGGTGCGTGACGGGCGTGCAGGGTGCCGTGACGGGTGTGTGACAGGCGCGCAGGGTGCCGTGACGGGTGTGTGACGGGTGTTCAGGGTGCCGTGACGGGTGTGAGAAGGGTGTTCAGGGTGCCGTGACGGGCGTGTGACGAGTGTACAGGGTGCCGTGACGGATATGTGACGGGATGCGGGGTGACCGTGACAGGTCCGTGCCGAAGGTCCACGGAAGCTGTGAAGGTGCCGGGTATGCAGGGAGGATGCGGTGACGCAGTGACTGCTTTGCTGGATGTGACATCTGTGTGACAAGCGCGCCGGCTGCGACAAGAATATCGCGGGTTTTGCAAGTATGCGACGGTTAGTCGCGACAGCTGGGCATATGACGGCATGTCAACGTCGGCGTCGTGCCGGCACGGGCGCTATGTCGGTCACGTAGCAGGTATGTGACAGGCCTAGTCCGGCAGGTCTGTATGTCAGGTCTCTGGCTCCCTTGCAGACGATGCAGCTGCTCAGACATGAACAGCCAGTCCGTGACAGTTGTGACAGGTGTGTGACAGTCGCTCCCCTTGCAGACGGCGCAGCCGCTCAGACACGAGCAGCGTGACGGTTGCGACAGGTGTGTGACGCCCTGTCCCTTCTTGCAGACGGTGCAGCCGCTCAGACATGAGCAGCCGGTCTGGGTCCGGCCGCGCCACATGGAGCTCATCCGGGTCGTCGTCATCGGCGCTCCACAGGTTGGGAAGTCCACCATCGTCAAGGTAACGGCGGTCAGCCGAGACGGTCAGCCTGGGGGGTCAGCGCCGGGTCGCCCGGACCACGCCACCGTGGCGCCACCCGGCGGCGGCCTGGACACCGGGGGCACGCGCGGCACGGGGTGGGGCATGGCTTTTTCCAGGACGCGTTGTCTTCGAAACAGCTCAAAATGGGTTTCGAGACAGTGGAGTGGCTGGATGGCTCCACAGCTTGTTCACAGTTTTATCAATGTCTTGCTTAATGAGGTAGGTACGGCGGCGTAAGTGAAGGACAGCCTGAAAACTGGCGCCACATTACTGTCGCCTTAGTCTAGGAACGACACACCTTTGATAGTATTTGCCTCAGGCCCCTGTTCTACCTGCTGTTGACCGATTACCCTTTTCTTACGGTGTTACTGTCAAGTGTGTCAGGTCTCTCATTTACATGTCAACGAACAGTCCGTTTCACATTTCACAGCCGTGATAAAAAATGTTTATATTCAATTCACCTCACATTTCTCTGGTAACGCTCAGGCAATCTCACGATTACAAGCCAACGCACAACCCGTCATACTGTTCACTTTAAACTCACAGGAACCTCGCAGCTTTCTGACAACGCGCAGTCTCTACCGCAAGACCCTGGCAGCGCATAATGAACTTTTAATGTGTAGTAGTCCACTATGTGCTACAACTCCAATACTACAACTCTAATACGCTTGAATTAGAGTTGTAGAGTCTTCGAGAAAGCATGCCCATACTCAGATAGCGGTTTCTTTTTCTTAAACATTGTTTAAGGACAGTGGAGTTTGGGGAAGGCACGGCGGGTTAATCAACCGCTCTCCAATTTTGTGCTCAATAACCATGAACATTTTATCTTGCAGTGGAATGCCTTATTTTGAATGCATTGGCCCCATGACGTTCTGTCCCAAAGGTCCATCCCGCAGCTGCCTGCCACTTCAAAGTCCGTCCCGTAGTTGCCCGTCACTGTACAGTCCGTCCGGCAGTTCCCTGCCACCGCACAGCCCGTCCCGCAGTTCCCTGTCACCGCAAAGTCCGTCCCGCAGTTCCCCACCACCGTACAGCCCGTCCCACAGTTCCCTGTCACCGCAAAGTCCGTCCCGCAGTTCCCCACCACCGTACAGCCCGTTCCACAGTTGCCTGCCACAGCACAGTCCGTCCCGCAGTTCCCCACCACCGTACAGCCCGTCCCACAGTTCCCTGTCACCGCAAAGTCCGTCCCGCATTCCCCACCACCGCACAGCCCGTCCCACAGTTCCCTGTCACCGCAAAGTCCGTCCCGCAGTTGCCTGTCACCGCACAGCCCTTCCCAGATTTGCCTGCCACCGCACAGTCCGTCCTGCAGTTCTCTGCCACAACATTTTGCAGGTGATTAAAATGGCGCAGTTCCCCACCACCGCACAGTCCGTCCCATATTTCCCCATCACCACAAAGTCCGTCCCGCAGTTCCCCATCACCGCACAGTCCGTCCCGCAGTTGCCTGTCACCGCACAGCCCTTCCCACAGTTGCCTGCCACCGCACAGTCCGTCCTGCAGTTCTCTGCCACAACGCAGTCCGTCCCGCAGTTGCCTGTCACCGCACAGCCCTTTCCACAGTTGCCTGCCACCGCACAGTCCGTCCTGCAGTTCTCTGCCACAACGCAGTCCGTCCTGCAGTTCCCCACCACCGCACAGTCCGTCCGGCAGTTCCCAATCACCGCACAGTCCGTCCCGCAGTTTTCCATCACCGCACAGTCCGTCCCGTAGTTCCCCATCACCGCACAGTCCGTCCCGCAGTTCCCTATCACCTCACAGTCCGTCTGACAAAACGCTCGTCGGGGCCGCACGCGCCGAGCGCCGCCTCCGTTTGCTCGAAGGACCCTCAGGGAATCAGCCGTTTGGGGCGGCGGGCCGTGACGCGAATGCCGATGACCTGGTACTGTCTCAGCAGGGGCAGTCACGCGCCCCAATTCTGTCTTCCCGGTCCCGGCTATTCATCACGAGAAAGGTTCACTCAGGCTGCCGCGGCCTGTGCCCTGAACAGCTCATTTGGACTCATGTCGTCCGCAAGGCGCATTCATCATATTTATGAAGCCTGCAACGTTTGCAGCATATTCCGGCACCTAGGCCTTTAATATGTCAGCTGCCGTGAATGCAAAGTGTCTCAAAGCGGCCAAAACCCGATCGCCCATTTCGCATACAAGCTGACAATATCGAGCATACCTGTAGCGTGGTCGGCTCAAAACAGATGTTATTCGTTGCGAATCAATACACGCTCCCTAAAGAGACGGAAAGCGGAGACAGACTGTTTTCAGCTTTCATGTCAGATTTTAGCTCCTGAGCTCTTGAATACGGAGCGAACAGCCGGTGCAGATGCCGGCAGCCGATGCAGGGTGACGTCGCTCATAGGTCCGTGTAGCCAAAAAAAGAAGCGTCGAGCTGATGTGTGTGTACAGCATAACTCGTTTGCGTCTCGACAAAAAGCGACTGGAGAACCATTCGGACAGGTTGGGTTAGTTACCTTTCGTTAAAAAAGAACAGCTAAGGATAATTCATCGTTTCTTTAAACGATGGTATTCAGAGATCATGTATGTATCTATCGTCTGTGGTATGTCGTCGCATAATCTCCAGCCTTTCCATACGGCATCCAAGATTTACCGGCGCGGCTGCCGCAAACGCACCATTTACGCTACTGCGCGAGCCATCACATCCGACAATAGCGT